CAATTTAATTAATGTCGCAGATCATAATGAAATCGGATTAAAATGAAATGTGGGTTTCTATTTGACCCTCTAAAACCGACTATACTGTATATGCGAAATCGAGCCACCAAGGCCAACTTTATTTGTATAAAAGAAATAAAAAAATACAGTCTAATTGTCTCGATCTGTGGATACTGTCGAGCTTTCTTCTATATACTTTCGTGATCTAGAAAATTTTGCATGATTTAGTAGGGATATGTTTGTAATTATTATGTTTCAAAGGATTAGTAAGGTATGAACGAAATTGGTTACTATAACTGCGTTAGCAAATTGCACTGGGGTTTTAGCTGAACGTAAGTGGTAATATCTATGAATATCAGCTTCGTCCCTAATAAGCACATTTAAATGGAGTATATTTCCTGCTACCAGCACTCCAATCCCAAACTCACTCCTATCCGGTTTGAGTGTTTTGCGGGTCCAATACAGGTCATCATTTGTCTCGCGCCATACTTTTACTTCATCGTCTACTTGTTTCTGTTCGCTACAGAATAAACGAGAACATTCAGAGCGCATAAGCTCATGAAATTTTTCTCAAAATTTGTAAACATGATATCTGGTTTTCTCCCTCTGCACCCTTCTCCCTTCCTATCTGCGCTAGCACTACTTTCTTTGTCTTTCCACAGTACTAACGAACAAGGAACTCCCATAAGGAATATCTTTCAACGAAGCACGAATCATAGGTTTAATCACATTTGTAACGTAAGTTCCCTCATTCTGCGATTCGGCATAGTCTGGACCAAACGCTAGATTATTCCAGGAATCTTCCAAAGTACCTAGAATTGCTTTCGCAATTTAACAATATTTTCTTCCGATTCTTTCCAAGACACGTCATGACTTAATTTTTCTGGTGGAGCTTCAGCTTGATGCTCGATGAAGCTCGACACAAATCTTCTACATCTTTTTTGAAAAAACTGGCAACAGAGGGGTTGCATTTTAAATTTAGGTTCCTATCAGTAGATACAATATATCAAATATAATGTTGGGATAAAAATATTATAAGTCTGGGGTAATTGTCGTACTATTTCTGAGCTATCACTAATAATCTGACTAGCAAATGGTTCTTTCCACGTTAATTTCGTAAAAAAAACTTTCTTCACTTCTAAAAGTAAACGTTGATGAAGTGACGACATATCTTTCTAAAACTTCCCCTTTCAACTCATTTATGTTTTTTCTGATTTGTTTTGAAGTAAGAGTTTTTCTTAATTCGATTTCATTACTCCAATGGCAAGTAAACTGCAAACGGACTTATAAGAAATTTCGAAATAATGTAAATAATAAGTTAATGGATTCGCAACTCTGATATAAAAAAATTATCACAAAACGGACGCGCAGTCAGAATATAATCAAAGCTCTATCTCCATAGGGTTAGCTACTCCACTGCGAAGATATAACCTTGAGTGATATTAAAATAACTACACAGGATTAATCCTTCACGCATCGAGGAAATTATCCTGTAGGCGGATTATTGAATGGCTAAACTGTTATGCTTGCTCGTATCACCGTCTGCGTGTTCATTATTCTAAATAAATTTTTCATTTTTTTTTATAGTTTATGGATGGGTTCGGTCAGTTATGGCCGCTTATCGGTTATACCGTATTTGCGCGTAATAATGGCCTTAATTTAGGCTGAAATTCAAAATTACACCCCTGCGCGTTATTATGCGCAAATACGGTAATCAATTTTTTTTATTTTTGAGTTATTAATTGTGGCAGATTAAAATGAAATCAGATTAAAATGAAACGAGCGATAGTATAAAATAGACAAGCCACCGAAAAAT